ACAATAACCAATTACATTTTTTTTTCTCATACAAAATCATTAAGTCAATGGAGTATTCAGCTTTCGATTTAAATGTAATAGAAGAAAAATTGACAAAAAGAAGAAAAAAAAAATAAGAACAAGAGAGAAAAAAACGCTCGCTTACACCCTACGTCAGGTCCATCGCAAAAATTAAAAAGATTACGATAAAAAAAAAAAAAATAATAAAACGTTTTTTTCTTGGGTAATAAATTTATCCTGTTTCCCGTAACTTTTTCAAAAAATATATTTAGAAGAAACATGTGATATGTTCAACAGGCAAACAAGAATAAAACCTACTCAATACAGATATATATTTTTGAGGCCAGAAACGAGTCCTTAGAAGACGTAGCATCCGAGCAATAAAAGTATAAACTCGCTTTTCAGTAATGGTGCTACATCCGCCAATCCAATAAAGCAGCCGAGTCAGAGAGAAAATACATTCTTGTTTTACGGGGCCTCAATTAAAGCTAATAAAAAAAAAAAAAAATAAAAGTACGCGTAAAAGTCAATGGAATCAGCTGCCCTTCTCGGAAATGCGAGGCTACTATTATTATCATCAACGCTTACCTGTTTTGTCTGCTCGCTGTGACCGAGTGTATTACGTTAAGCGACGAGCAGGAGACGGATTAATTAAGTCTAGGATAGTGTATATTTACTTATTCTAAAAATTTGTTTGGGCTTTAAATCGATAATAATGTGAGATTGTGAATAAAAAGCTTTTGGAAACGATGTCGGGGTTGGTTGTACCGTTGCATAAGCTATCATCGGCTTTGAAAAATTCAGCTGCTTAATAGTGATATCGATTAGAGAATTAGGAATCAGAATACAAATTCTTTTAATATACTGGTCACATCATGTATGTACGCGCCAATAAAATATACCAATAAAAATACAATGTTGGATATGGGCTGATGTGCCGATATGTTGTAGCGTAGACTTTCGTTAGTCTATATTTGAGTGTTTGGCATACATTTCGAATTGAAAATTTCTTAATATTGTATTTTATAAAGTAACGGTTATAATAACCACGGAAGAACGTATCAAGTGCTTCTTCAATGATTTTATTATCTCAGTAATGTTATAGAAACTAACTCACGTAATGTATTTTTTTTCTCCTTGATGCACATCTAATTACGCATATATATATATATATATATATATATATATATATATATATATAAACATTAAAACGTATTCACTCGTATTCATACGCGTATATAAGGGAAAGAAGTGACGGATAGGGCATAGCAGAGAATGAGCTTGAGCTGGTACATATGGGTTTCGTTGGATGGGATGTAGGGGCGTGGGGAGGCTTCTCTTCGAAAATCATTTCTCATTTACGCGAACATTGCCGTTTATCCGAAGTATGCGTCAGAGAAATTCCACACTCGAACGAATAATGATATTGCTCCAAGTTGGAAACGAGAGATAGCAAAGGCTGAACAATAACTTTTGTCTCTGTAGTTTATACGTCGGTAAATATTCAGTTAACAGTTTTAAAGTGTACTTCTTTGTAAATTTGGTTCGCATTAATAGAAAATTCTGCTGGGGATTTTCCAATAATTAAATCTCAAAGTAATTAAACAAATGTGTCCTTGATTAACGACACTCTGTATTTCATCAAAATCTATAATATTTTCTAATACGATTTCTTTTCCTCTTTTATTATTTATTATTATTATTATTATTATTATTATTATTATTATTATTATTATTATTATTATTATTATTATTATAAATATCATTTCCCTTTTAATCTCGTCACAAAATTGCCACTGATTGAATTAGTCGACCGATTTATGAAAATAAAATTACCGATTTATTAAAAGAGATATATTGTTAAAAATAATTTGTCAGTCGGCTATTAAAATTTTTCTACCAAAAAAATATTATGAATTATTTATTTCCATTGATTATTTGATTGAAAAAAGAGAAAAAAATTTAGAAAGCTTGTTATTTAATATCATGATTCATAAGTGATGCGATATTCTTAAAAAT